TGTAGAGAGATATAGAAATACCACTGTTAAAATAGTACTCAATACATCAACTGTAGAGCAATATAGAAATACCACTGTTAAAATAGTGCTCAATACATCAATTGTAGAGTGATATAGAAATACCACTGTTAAAATAGTACTCAATACATCAATTGTAGAGTGATATAGAAATACCACTGTTAAAATAGTGCTCAATACATCAATTGTAGAGCAATATAGAAATACCACTGTTAAAATAGTGCTCAATACATCAATTGTAGAGAGATATAGAAATACCACTGTTAAAATAGTACTCAATACATCAACTGTAGAGCAATATAGAAATACCACTGTTAAAATAGTACTCAATACATCAACTGTAGAGTGATATAGAAATACCACTGTTAAAATAGTGCTCAATACATCAACTGTAGAGCGATATAGAAATACCACTGTTAAAATAGTGATCAATACTTCAACTGTAGAGCGAAATAGAAATACCACTGTTAAAATAGTACTCAATACATCAACTGTAGAGCAATATAGAAATACCACTGTTAAAATAGTGATCAATACATCAATTGTAGAGCGATATAGAAATACCACTGTTAAAATAGTACTCAATACATCAATTATAGAGTGATATAGAAATATCACTGTTAAAATAGTACTCAATACATCAACTGTAGAGCGATATAGAACTATTAAAACAGAACCAAAAAACATGTTGTATATACTTAATTATAACAAACATTTTATTTCATTTTTATTTTAATAATAGCATGGTTTTAAATGTTAATATTATATTATTTTGTACTAACTGTTTAAACTCGTTTAATATCGTATTTTATTTTAGTAAAAATCTTTTTATCAATTTTAATTTGTTTGTTCAACATTTTAAAAATGTCATAATAACAAAAGTTTTAACTTATGCACGTTTAGTTGTTATGTGTTATTATCGCATTTGATTTGTCATAATCACGACTAATATCAAGCCAAATTAGTAAAAGTTAACACTTTTCCTTGAACCTTCCTGTTTTCAGCGAAACATACAGTAAAGCACGACACTCACACTCGCATGACTGACACTTAGATCAATAAGACGTAAATTCCATTGTATTTCTCCTTCAGATATTAATTATAAAGACTTTTAATTAAGAATTCATTTAAGATAATTTTGAAATGAAATGGAGTTTTACGTCCTACTTTTCTGCACATGTTTCGGCCAATGAGACTGGCAATATTATTCAAAGTACAACAATGCAACATAACAGAGATACAAAAACTGTTTTACAAACTTTATGACATCAGTTAGGATGATTACAAAATATATCATAAAAGATCACACAATTTCTTCCCATATCATTTAGAGTTACATGTATCTCAAATCTAATTTAATGGTTTAGAACCTCGGACTTTCTCTTTACGGCGAGAATCCCATCACGTATTGGTAAAAGCACCTAAAAAAACGGAATAAATATTATCAATTCTAACTTCAACCACCTTTTCAATGACAAGCTATTACGAACTTCGTCTTATACTTTGACCGCAAAAGCCACCTTTCTAATTGACTGTAAGCGCTTCAAAAAACGGAACGAAATTATTTTAGTATTATACATCAAACTTGGCTTATGAAAACAGGCATCGCCAGTGTGCAATCAGGGAAATTCAAAATAAGAAAACACATACCCGTTCCAACTCGTTCTGAGATGCCATGAATTTATTAAAATCGTGCATTGGGTTGACTGTAGGATCGTCTTCCTTCGTATAACTATCACCTTGGAAAAAGGAATTGTCCGCCAAGATAATTCCATTGGGGGCTAACATATTCTTCTTCATTATCATCTGAACACAAAGAAACAAGATTCTAAGTAAAAGTAACAGCATGATAACAGCAAAATCATAATCAACTATGTGAACTCTCTGAAAGAGATGTCGAGCTGACACACCGCAATACCAAATGCACATTATAAGGTATGCGAACTCTCTGCAAGAGATATAGAGTTGACACACTGTAATACCAAAAAAACGTTAATAGCTATCGTGTGAACTCTATAAAAGTATATACAGTAAGTTGGCAATCGAAAAAACAGTGTGGCTCTTCGCTAGCAATATGTCAGTAAAAAGTTTTAGTGAGATTTTTTGACTTAACTGGCGAAAGTATAATAATGATCACGATCACGATAAGAGTCAGATGACTCAAAGAAGTATAAAAACCACAAATAACTAGCGATTATGATGGGATATAAAATGCACGTGTAAAAGCAGGTTTGACTTACTGACCTCAACATATCCTTTATATCCCGGTTTATCAGCATCAATAAAAACCACATCAAATTGTAGGCCCTCATCGTGTAATTTAGGAATGGTTTCGAGGGCAGGTGCTGAAATGCAAATAGTCTACAATTATAGTTCCGATAACGCTCTTTAGCTTTACGGAAACTGTCGAGAATTGCCGAATGACTGAAACGATGAATGGATTTGTGCAGAAAAGTCATGCCCATCCAATCATAAATGTATATAACTCACTCCATCAATACAGGGGTGTCTTAAAAGTGGTTGGGGTGGGGGGAATGTTAAAACTTACCAATGTGAACTTTTATCTTTTTACCATGGGGTGATTGGTCGAAGTAAGGTTTGGTGAATTCTACGAGGTAGGGTTCTACGTCACACGTATGGAGGACACCATCTGAGGGTAAGGCCTCGGCCATGCCTAGAGCTGTATAGCCGGTGAACATCCCAATTTCTAAAACACGTTTAGCTTTGACCATACTGATTATAAACTGTAGAAACTTTACTTTAAAGATACAACGACATAACTTTAACTATAACAATGGCTATAACTCAGAAAAACTTCATCGAAAATTATTCAAAACGAACTCATTTTAGATTTTATCAATTAAAAAAAACATTAGGGTAAAAAATGCGCACTATACTCGCAAATATACGGTACCGTCGCACAGGCGATTGTTTCATGATAGTTGAATGATAAGATATTCCGGGCCCGCCTCGGCTCCTGCCCCTTGTTGAAACACCAATAGACCACACGATAACGAAATGAGACCCCTCGGTACCCATCAATTGTGTTCGTTGGTACTCTAGGGGGTAGATGTACCCCAGTTTGCGAAACGGGGCCTGATAATGAAATCAACTTACTTGTGACTTGTCCGCTGATCATAAAAGGTTCCATGTAATACTGAGTTTTCCCTTGCTTGTGGACATCCTTCCATGGGTGGTCATACGTGTCCTTAAACAATTTGGCTAAACTTTCACTTTGAGTTGAAGTGTTTTCGTCTGCGTAAAAATGTCGCCTGGCAAACAGCTCCTTAATGTGTTCGAGTTTCTTCTTCACGTCTGGGTTGACGTCTGCTATTTCTGGGGATTTTAGCAAATCTTTTAATTCGCGAAATGCCGGATCATACATCGCCATTTTGAATCAAGTTGATGGAAGCACTTTCTTTAATTCTACAACTGAAAGGAAATGTATAAAATTGCCGTTAGATGTTCCAGTAGAATAAACATGATCTGTTAAGTGGGTGATTGACAGCGGAAACGAAATACCTATAAAATGAATGAATGAATGAATGAATGAATGAATGAATGAATGAATGAATGAATGAATGAATGAATGAATGAATGAATGAATGAATGAATGAATCAATGAATGAATCAATCAATCAATCAATGAATCAATCAATGAATCAATCAATGAATCAATCAATGAATCAATCAATGAATCAATCAATCAATGACAGCGGAAACGAAATAGCTTTGCATGAAATGAACAAATGACAAATACAGCGAATTACTTTATAACAGCAAGAATGAACAAATGAAAGAATGAAGGAATAACTGAATGAAAGAATTAATGACAACCAAAACTAAATATTTTATAAACGACAGAATGCATCGATGCATAAATAAATGAATGACAGCGAAAACGAAAAAGAAAAATGAATGAAGGAATGAATGACAACCAAACACTAAGATAAAGAAAGCATGTATGAATGAATGAATGAATGAATGAATGAAACGAAATACTGGCAAACTTAGCAAATGATCATAATTTAAAAAATAATTTACAGATTTTATAGCAAATCTTCTTATTCTCTCAAACTGAAAAGGATAGTTGACGAATAAATGTTCGACAACTGAACACTGTTATCTGTCCAAGTATTTTGGGATGATTTGAATTAACTATCTGCCTCTGTCTCCATATATTGAACTCAATTCAATATTTTGCATAATATAATTATTGAGATCTTATCTTGCGTAAAAACATCATATCAGATGATATCGATGGGTGTGATTTGCCGTCCTGTAAAACGAAACTTAAATCGGCAAGCTCCGGTAGTTTTCGTTAAGCTGATGTTGCAGAGCTCTTGCTGAACT